CCATCAGCACAGAAGCTATATAACATATTTTATCGACTACTTAGTTCCAGTCCGCTATGGTTTTTAGCACTGATGCTGTATGACAGTCAATCCCATGTGTAAAGCAGATAAAAATGGATGAAAAATAATTTTAAAAAATCTATAAGCTCTCCGTATATAGCTCTTTCGAATAACTTCGACATAACAGACAAAATGCTTACAGGCCGGTAATTGCCCACTTCCAGCTGACTATAATAATCTTCTTCCTCATATAGATATAATAAAACAGAACTTGAATAGAATGTGCCCCCTTTGTAATATACAGTTGGAAAATAAATTCCATTTCATAATTAGACGAAAATTTAAGAAAAATGTTTAAAAAGTAGAACTGCAGTCAGTAGATCGCCTGGATCAGAAAACATATATAAGAAAACTCTCGACAAAAATCAAAGCTTATACCGGCAAAATCTTTCAAAAAAAACTAAAAGAATTGAGAACAAAGAATTCCAGAGACTATTGGAAAGTACTTAACTAGGGAAAGCGTAAAAAACAACCGGATATCCTAATAGAGAAATTTTATGATTTCTTTATAAGGATCTTAACGCTGCCCCGAAGGAAGACCAAGTTGACCAATTGAATTATGATTTGAATTTGTACATAGAAAAAGAAATTTTGAAATGTATAAAAAAAAAATGAAAAATGATAAGACTGGTGGCGAAGATGATGTTATAAATGAATGCATAAAAGCAACTTCCTACATATTTTCCTACAACACGACGTTACACCAAAAATGGGACGTCAAAGAGTGTTTTCTGAAATTTTGACGTCGATTAATTAAATTTGATAGTTTCATTCGTTTTTTTTATATATGTTATGGGTTGATTCTGTCTCGGTTATTTTTGTGATGTATTTTTACCATGAATTACCTCAAGTTGTAGAAATCGATTAACAATGTTTACACTTAATTCCCCTTAAAATGCTGTATTGTCGTAAATAATGTAGGAAGGCAAAATGGGACGGAATTATTAAATATACAGTTTTCCATAAATAAATTAAAACATAATTTTAGAAGCACAAAACTTTAATCACAGGCTGCTAAAATTTTATGGTGCATATCATATGTCATTGTAAATTTTCCATATCTTGATTCAACCCCAATACAAATATATCCGACACTCTGCAAGTAAATCATATTTTTTTTTACCCTTGATTAATTTGAAATGAATTGTACTTTCCTTGACACACAATTTGTCGAAATACAGCCCTTCAATTATTTGAACCCCAGCTTCAAAATCATTTCCCAGTCATCTATAGTTTCTTGTTTAAGTTTTCTAGCGTCTGATGTACTTTTTAAATTTTAGAAATCTACTCCTGGGTTGTCCGTAAAAACGGATAATACAATCCCGGGTTGTATTATTTCAATGATAAAATTGAGAATGGAAATGGGGAATGTGTCAAAGAGACAACAACCCATCAATAGAGCAGACAACAGCCGAAGGCCACCAATGGGTCTTCAATGCAGCGAGAAACTGCCGCACCCGGAGGCGTCCTTCAACTGGCCCCTAAACAAATATGTATACTAGTTCAGTGATAATGGACTTCATATTAAACTCCAAATTATACACAAGAAACTAAAATTAAAAATGATACAAGACTAACAAAGGCCAGAGGCTCCTGGCTTGGGACAGGCGCAAAAATGCGGCGGGGTTAAACATGTTTTTTGAGATCTCAACCCTCCCCCTATACCTCTAGCCAATGTAGAAAAAACAAACGTACAACAGTACGCACAGTAAAACTCAGTTTAAGAGAAGTCCGAGTCCGATGTCAGAATAGGAAACAAAAGAAAATAAACAAAATGACAATAATACATAAATAACAACAGACTACTAGCAGTTACTGACATGCCAGCTCCAGACCTCAATTAAACTGATTGAAAGATTATGTCTTCATCATATGAATATCAGGCACAATCCCTCCTGTTAGGGGTTTAGTATTATACCGTTCACATATAGCTTTGTTGTTTTAATCCTCAAATATACTAGATATTACTAAGCATATGACCAAGAGCTATAAGAACATTATTGAAAACATATACTGAATTTGTTTTTATAGTGGTTAGTGTTTGCTAACATTTATTTTTTTGTTTTGCGGAGGAAATGTCGAAGATTCTATTTTAAATCCTATGGGTTGTAGGAACAGCGTGCGTAACGTTTAAACAATATGAATGGGAAAATGTTAAATGTGATAAAAAATATGTATAAAATCAAGTATTATTTTTATAACAACAGCAAGTCTGGTTATTTTCCGTGTAATAATGGGGTTAGACAAGGGGAAAACATGTCCACTGTTTTGTTTGCAGTATTTTAGATTGATTTGGAAAAAAGTAAAATAACAAAAATACCAAAGAAAATTCAAAGCGGAAAGTCCCGCTTATAAAGTCCCTTATCGGAAAGTCCCCTTAGAAATTTCTTCACAGAAGAAAAACTATAAAGGCCTTTTCACAGTTACAGAAGAAATAGAACATGAACTTGATGTATTTCTCAATATCTTTTTATTATTATATGCAGATGTTTTTCATGTGGAAGATTACCAGACAATTTACACTTTGTTTTAGATAATCAAGAGATAGAAATCGTTCAAGGGTTAGGTATTTTACAAAAAAGGCAAAAAAAGGCAAAGGTTGAAAAGGGGACAAAAGATGTATGAGATACTTAAAAGGGGGAATTTATAGCCTATCAGTTTTTTGTCAGCTAAACCTTTTTGATGGATCAGAAACATAGGGATTCGGTAACTGTGATATTATTGAAAATGTTCATCTAAAATTTTGTAAGTTGCTCCTGAATCTGAAATCTTTCACTCCCAATTGTATGATATAGGGTGAGCTAGGACGTTTTCCACTTAATATTGATGTAAAATTAAGGATGATATCCTACTGGCCGATTTGGTGATGAGAATAAAAATATATGTAACAATGTGTGCACAACTCAATAACTCTAGAATGAAAAAGTTTAATGAAATTTCTCAGGGGCGGATCCATCCATTTATAAAAGGGGGGTTCCTAACCCAGGATAAAAGGGGGGGTTTCCAACTATATGTCCTAAATGCATTGATCGTCAAAAAAAGGGGGGTTCCAACCCCCAGAACCCCCCCCCCCCCCCCCCCCCCCCCCAGGATCCGCCACTGTTTCTAATATTTTTCTTATTTCTATGTAAATGTGCATGAACTGTGTATTTTACCTGGGACATAATATATTCTCAGTATTCTATTCCCAAATTTTACATGTAGTGGTTTTATATGGATACCTTTTTTCTTTTGAATGAATATACATGTATAATAGAGGTAAGCATTATTTTGCTTATATGAGGTGAGGCATGTTGTCTATCATTTAAGAAAAGAACAAGAAAAAATAAACAAATGTAGATTTTTTTGACAATTTTACTTATTTTTGTTATTTATTGTTTATTTGAGTTACAAGTGTATCTGAAGCCCGTCTCTGGGTGCGGGATTTTCCCGTTACGTTGAAGACCCATTGGTGGCCTTGGGCTGTTTTCTGCTGTTTGGTCGGTTGTTGTCTCTTTGACACATTCCCCGTTTCCATTCTCTATTCTTTTGGTCCTATTGTTTAGATTTAACTTTTAAATGATAGAGCAGCAATATGCAAATTACGCATAAGTGTACATTCTTTGGTGATTGAAAGGGGAAGAGATCTTAAGGTTAATGATTGACCCCTTCTGTAGGTCTGTATATTACGAAATTTTCAAATAGCTACAATACCAAAACAGTAAAAATACAGAATAAAACTGACGCCATTTTGTACATATACCAAAGGGAAACGTTGTTCAAAGCAATACTGTTAAATGTTACATTTCATTTAATAGAAAATGGGGATTTGGTGGCAAATAAAGCCAAGATTTAAAAAAAACCCAGACTTTATTACAGAGATTTTTGTTATAAGATTTTAAACACAGATTACTCATTTGTTTGTCAATGATGTGCTAGCGTTTATTGTCTACAAAAAGTCATAAACAACCTTCACAGTCCCAAAAAACCATCGTATAGAGTCACTAAAGTCGAGCGCACCCTAGAAGATATACTTTAATAAGTCCATTTTTATACTTGTTTAAACAAATATCTTTATTTGTATACTTGTTTGAGGAAAATTAGGCACATTGATAATAAAAAAAAGGAAAATAGCAAAATCAGTAAAAAGAAAACAGAAATAGAAAATAATGCCCCCGAGTTCATATTATAGGACTAAGGAAAATCATTGTTAGCAGTACATGCAATAATTCTTTATCTATTGAGCACCGATTGGTCAAATATAGGATTAAAAGGGGAAAGGCAGCGGATTTTTTTAAATAAAATTTCCATATGTCAGCATTAAAACACATAAATTATTTCACAAAAGGGTAAAGTTTATCCTTAATATTCCAAGAGAAGAAAGATTCAAGAAATGTACTGTTCTTTCTGTAAAAATGGGGAAATTGAAGACGAACAACATTTCTTATTACAATGTAATAGATTTGCCTCAATACGAGAAATATAAAAAAAATATGTTATATTTAGAATACAGCGCAACATTATCACTGTTGAAAAAATATCCCTTTTGGTAAACAATAGCTCAGCATTATTACCCAGTTAAACTGTTTTCCTCTCAGTCAATATAATATATAAGTATGCAACTTTTCATTCTATCATTTCTGTTAATATTATAATACACCTATGATAGGTGTATTATATATGCAATAGGTCTTAACCATTTATTGTAACTGAGTTGTGCGGCCAATAAAATATTGTGCCAACAGAACGGCAGTACTTTGCTTTTTTAATTAGATTGCTAACCGAATTTCTGTCAATCTGACCCATTTAAAAATTTAAAGAAACTTTTGACTGCAACTTAAATCAAATGCAAAATTACAATAGACCAATATGTGATATCGTTTGTTAAGATTTTCCCTTGCGTACCTCACGCAAAACGAAAATAATCTTATGTGACGTCACAAGCACTGGTTCTTCCAAGATGGCCTACGGAGGTACAGAATGTTTGTGTGTGGATTATTTTTTGTTTATATAGTGTACCGACATTTCTTTTGAAATTTGTTTTATCAATATTCATTTGATTAGGATAGAAGGTTTTATTTTTCATTTAATCAATTTAATCCTGTTATAAAAAATCAATGGACTGAATAAAAAATACAAAACATTTAATCGGGATTCTGAATACAAAGCCAAGGTGTGAGGCATCAATTTTTATTATTGTGATGTCAGATTTTGCAGCTATTATTTCGATATCATTTTTCATGTTGGATACAAAAGTGATTTATAAACACTAATTAATAAAACTGTTTTCTCTTTTGTTACAAATATTTGTATGCACCTGATGACTTTATTCAGCAACAACTGTGGAATGACTTAATTTATTTGTGTATTATGATGTGAGGTAGATTGTGTATACACCTGATCTTATTTATTTGAGGGTGAATATCATGTAAATAATGGAGTAAATATATTATAAATGAATTACACACAGTATAGAACCAATGAAGATCTTTCTCTTCTTGGGCACGTTGGTATGGAGTTTGTTTATTTTACACCCTACAACATGTGGGGCTTGCCCACCAAGATGCACATGCACATCTATAAAGAACAAGGCTGACAAGAATAAAGATATTGTGGAGACGCCTAGAGTTGGTCAGGGCAAAAAAGTGATCTGTTCAGGGGCATATTCACCAATCTCATCTGTGGCTGAAATTCGAAATCTACCGCTAGACACTGTAATTTTGTAAGTAAATAAATTTGTAGTTTCTTTTAAAAATTCCTTTGCATCTAAGGCAAGGTGAACCATTTAAAGACAATACCCATAGTGATCCCAAATAGAGTATGTATATTTATATGAGTTTATTATATTGATGAAACCTGTATGTATTTTTTTTTCAGTTTCAAATATAGAGTTTAACGTTTTGGATGTCCTCTAGAAAATGCAACAATTAATATTTTACAAATATGTTAAAGTGTGACATTTTTTAAAGGGGTTTATTTTCACTAATCATCCTTAAAAAAATAAAATTGTGAAAGCATCATGTAACATACTTTGTACATGTAAGTTTGTCCCCTGGCTTATCATGCTGATGACCATATCAGTGAAAATCTGTTTGGGCCAGCAACTTTTAAAAATATTTTTGGTAGAATTAGGCCCAAATTCATATACAGTGTATGTCTATTTCCTGACCATCCCTAAGATTGATCGACGACCATATCCAAGAAAAAAAGTTTTTTGTATCATTTGAGTAGACTATAGCTACATGTAGGAAATCCTACATTGTATCTCAGCTGAATTAATAATGAGATTTACCAAAATCGAGTGAATCACTATTGAGAACATTGAAAAATATAAATGTACCAATGCTTGGGTAAATCTCTGGGCCTAACTTGGAGAAAATATAATTTTTTACAGATTCAGTCAATACACACAGAAAAAAATTGAAATCCTCACTTACCAACCCTATTTTTGCAATGACTGGTGACTGGACACAGACATATATTTTTTGTTTTATACAAAAATTTGAGTTTTAAGGGAGCAACCATTTAACTTCAAAGGGGGTGGGGGGGGGGGGGGGGAGGTTATGGTTTTTTGTCGGAGTCAGAAATTTTTTTTTTGTCATCTGTTTGACCACAATATTTCTTTTCATCAAATTGGGGATCAGAATATTTTTTTGGGAAAAAACCATAGGATATGCATGTAATATACATTTGTACATGTCCACAGAAAGAATCAATGACGAGAAAAGACAGAAAATATTATATAACCTTGCAAACAGGTACATGTACATGTACACATGTATGTCTTGAGAAATCTGAAAATTGAAGTTCTGCTAAAAATAAATTTTCTTTCAATTTCTAATTCAAACACAGATTGTTCTAGATTTAAAGGAAACATGTAGTGATTCAATGTTACACTTGAGTATACGTAATGCATTATAGGAAACACAAAATTATTATAAACATGTATACATGTACAAAGTGTACATTGGAACCACTCTATCTAGTCATGCTAGTACCATGGATTATTGAATTCCGCATGTCAAACAGTTGATATTTTCAAATTGAGGAAAATTACTTTTTCAAGATATAATAGGAAAACAAAGGTACATGTATACCTATATGGTAATACCAATGGGTGGTTGTTTTCTTATGACTTTTATATACAATTAGAATCATATATATATATATATATATATATGGTATTGAGATACATATTGAGATTTTATTAATCATGAAAATTTACATTTTGTCATACAATATGGAATGGTTAACAGTCAATGCCTTGTCATTTATTTACATTTTTATTTAAATTATATATGTAATTATATGTAAACCTTTGTTTTCCTATTGTATCTTGAAAAAACAATTTTTCTCAATTTGAATAAATCAACATATATATTGTAATTTGGTTTCAAATGAAAATAAAGCTATGGATCATGTAAGATACAAGTGATGTAGTACTAAATAATACATAGATGTACCAAAAAAGGCAAAATTAATAAAAAAATTTGTGTTTTTATATTGTACTTTTAGTTTGACCGCCCATCCAATTGCTTTTTTTTTATTGTTATTTGTAAAAATATAAAACAAAATTTATTTTTTTTTACAAAAAAGAACACAGTTTTGGTAAAATCATTGGACAAATTTTTGAAAAGAAATATGAACTTTGTCTACATGTACACATGCTATTGTCTAAAATTCATTAGAGAAACAGATTCTGCCATCATGACCACTGACCACCGAATCTCATCCAATACAAATTTTACAATATAACTCCACTCTGGACAGGGTTATTTTAAATATTTAAAAGGCCTCAGGTTTTGAATTTGAACATTTAATTGTCTCAAGTGGAGAAATATCATATTGCACTGGATACAGATCATACAGTAGTAAAATATATATTTATACATTTGTTCATGTAACTATATAAAAGTTTATGATTCCACCCTTGTACAAAATTGTACATGTACTAGTACTGTATCAAGGTATTCTGTGTATATCTGGTTTTTAAAAGTGATATTTTCATTGTGTAATTTCAGGGATTTAAGTAGGAATACTATTACAATATTACACAGAGGAGAATTTAACAAATTGTCTGGACTCAAAAGACTGTAAGTACACATAACCTTATTAAGCATGTTAAGTATATAGATTTGTAAAATGGTTTGTACAGAAGCTATTACTGTAGTACATATAACTTTAGTATAAAGATTTGTACAATGGTTTATACAGAATGTGCTAGTCATGTTAGAGCGCATTTGTTTCTAACCTAAACGATGTTAACGATTACGCGCGTAGTCGTTTCATCCATTTATTTCTTAAATTTTTTTGGTAAACGTTGACATCGTTCACATAAACGATGTATGTGCAAAGGAGTCGCGTAGTCGTTGATTGTTTATCGTTGAGATGTATAAACGATACATTTGTTTCTGCATCTGTAGTTTAAATAATTACGAGCACATGTTGTTTTTCGCAAAGTCCTGGTCATTCATTTCCTGCACTTTTACCTGTTTGTTTACAGTGCGTGTATGTAATCTACATGTATTTCTGTCTCACTACTCAGGGTCGATAAAGTTCTTTAAATGATGTATTTGTTTCTAGCAGCTTAACGTTTACTAAACGATAGTCATCAATGAAAAAATTTCGTGTTAGAAACAAATGCACTCTTAGTTGTTGCTGTCCACTAGATTTTTCAACACAGTAAATTTATGTAATTGTAGTTTGTATACATGTTATATATAATACTACATTTGTACTTGTTGAAAACAAGCTGTCACTCATTATCACTGCCAATCACCCTATTTCACAGTGATTCATATTCAACAACAGAAAGAGTATTTTTTACTGAATAACCACAATTGTGGCTACAACATGGCCATCATCTCATTTAAACATAGTTAACAACATGGCCATCGTCTCATTTAAACATAGTTAACAACATGGCCATCGTCTCATTTAAACATAGTTAACAACATGGCCATCGTCTCATTTAAACATAGTTAACAACATGGCCATCGTCTCATTTAAACATAGTGAACAACATGGCCATCGTCTCATTTAAACATAGTGAACAACATGGCCATCGTCTCATTTAAACATAGTTAACAACATGGCCATCGTCTCATTTAAACATAGTTAACAACATGGCCATCGTCTCATTTAAACATAGTTAACAACATGGCCATCGTCTCAATTAAACATAGTTAACAACATGGCCATCGTCTCATTTAAACATAGTTAACAACATGGCCATCGTCTCATTTAAACATAGTTAACAACATGGCCATCGTCTCATTTAAACATAGTTAACAACATGGCCATCGTCTCATTTAAACATGGTTAACAACATGGCCATCGTCTCATTTAAACATGGTTAACAACATGGCCATCGTCTCATTTAAACATGGTTAACAACATGGCCATCGTCTCATTTAAACATATAGTTAACAACATGGCCATCGTCTCATTTAAACATAGTTAACAACATGGCCATCGTCTCATTTAAACATAGTTAAAAAGAATCTGTCAATTTTTAAAATATTCAAATCTTAGAATCAGAGAAGTTTAAACTGTATATAAGTTTGTTTAAAAGTGACCTTGTGACCTAAGGGGAAAACCTATTGGAGCCCAACTATTATTCACCATGAGGGCAAAATGTACCGGGGTACACTGTACATGTGTAAGGACTGTACATGTGTAAGGGTACAGTTACATGTTTAATACAGGTTTGTTTCTGCCACCCTTGCCCTAGATGTATATCCATTCTATTCCAATATATATAATGGGAGAAGAAGCATATATACATTTTGTACATGAATGCATACATTGTACATTCTTTGTGCTATAAAAAAATAAATGACTTCTCCAAGAGTCTCAGTAGGACAGAAGAAATACCTTTTCTGAGCCCCACATTTACGTTTCAATTACATGTAACAAACAATGCAATCTACATAAAGAAGTTTTGATTTTAAAACAATTATGAAGACATTTAGATGAAAGTAACCAATTAGAGGTGTACTCGACTACTTTCACAGCTCTATACTGTAATCTTCACACATGCCTTCATTTCTCTGTTTGTTATTCTGTGTTGTGTATATGAGATAATTTATAATTAAGCAAACAAGCATTGATGTTCTAGATAGATCATTATTATATGTAGCTACAGAAGAAAATATTTTCATCCTTCAGTAGACAGCAGAATGAAGCTCTAAAACATCTGTCTGTTACTGGTATTGTAGATGATTAACAGTTGGCATTCACCCCCAGGGAACAACTTCTTCTGGCCCAATGTTTTCTGTGCTGATTTTTTCATTCATCCAGATCATATTTTTTCTGTTTTTTTCTGCTCTGGTAAAGAAACCTGCTAAAAAGTTTTATATGTTGGCATACATGTATAGTGATGTATATAATGTGAACTTTTTCAAAAGAAATTCATATGGCTTGAACAGGACCAACAGAAGGACACTAATTAATGTAAACATATTACTTGTGAGAAATGTCTTCACAGTTATCAAAATCTTTTTTTCCCTGGTGGTCAATGAAGAAATTTACTGGTCTTCACTAAATTTCTATTGCAAAATACCAAAATTGTGTCGGTCCTTCGCAAAATTTTTATGGTTAATACCTTCAGTCCACTATTTTTGGAAAACTGTTTGTCAATTGGTATACATCCATTTTATTCATATTATTTATAAAGTAAAACAGCTCATCATGCAAAATTAATATCCATATGTTATATATCAACAAAGTTAATATAATGTATGTTACATGTTTTATATATATATAGACATATTTATTTAGCTTTAAAGGAATTGTTGTAATTTCAAATTAAACATGCACATGATGAATGCAAATGAGATTCTAATTGTCAATCTTAACATTAATGATAATACATCATAAATAAACAGACTATAAAGATATACCATGCTAACATTAAAGGTACCATGTGTGTAAATATACAGTGCGTGTTTACAAATGCATTTCTAATGATTATCTGAGATGCAGCTGCATAATTCATGTACATGTATGTATATATTCATAATTGTGATTTTCCAATTCTGTAGAGTCCTCACCAACCCTCTCTGGTCAAAAGTGTTACTGTAACTTGATTACTAGTGTTGCTCTCCATCTTTTGCAGTTCTTTTAAAATTCCACTCCAATGCAATTTGTTTCATTACCATTACATGACCATGTCTGCACCATAAGCCTCTGTTCAGATGCCCCCGACTAGTTAATTTTAATTTAGACTATTGAGTATTTGCAAAACATTGGTCTTCAGACTATAGCTAGTATACATATATAGTTGGAAAAGATTTTAGTTCAGACTGAGGGACTTTTAGTTATCAGAGCCCTCCCACTATTGTCTTTTTATTAGTGTAAAAACAAAAGACAAAGTTAATCTTTATAAAATTGCAATATGAATAATTGATTTGTACTTGGGTCTGTATCAGTTAACATTGTATTCATTTTAATCTCCTTACATTTCCTATATAGAATAGCATTGGATCTGATTCTCTACCCGGGTCCTTACTAAAGTTATTATCTTTTCCTAAAGCCAGGGCTTTGTCTTTTGGTCCTTACAAGTAATAAAATGATCTTTTCCTAAAGCCAGAGCTTTGTTTTTTGGCTGACACATCAGATAGTAATGATTTTACAGTTAAACTGGAGACATGTATCTTCATTGGGACTCTCTCTATATCTTGATAATGTTAGACCTTTAAAACTCAAGGATTATGTACATGGACAGATTCTCCTGATAAAAACAATGTTTCTGATAAACAGTACATATTTCTCTGTGTATTACTTGTTTTGAGGTTGATCGTGTGTTTTTGATAAGAAGCCTTTAAATTAGGAATGAATGGTATATTTTGTACATTGTTGTAAATGAATGCATAGAAAAACAATTTTTTCAATGTTTGATATGTATTGTAGTGTACATTGTACACATACACAATTAGATTTGAATAAGATATAAAATCATTCAACACAATTTGTCTATAGTTGATTTGTTAATTGGTTAGAGTTGAAGAAATCATAAAATAAATCTTGTTGTGAATATGCATGTCATATTTGTTACTGGATATTAAGCAATCAATCAAAAACAATAAAAAAGAAGCTTTTTAAAATCTGAATCTTGATTCTAGTAATATTTTTCTTCTGACAATTCAACCAGGTCTTTTCTGTACAGATACATATATATATATATGTATTTAGACCCATCTACCAAGAAATTTGTTTTGCATGCACACGTATAAAAATTGCGGTTTTTATCCAACGCAATCATAGGTTTGAACGTTGTTTTCAATTTAGACTTATTTATATTTTTTCGTTTGGGCTTGTATTATATTTGCCTTCGGGTTTATATGATCCGTTCATCCTATTTCGACTCTTCAAAGTTCAAGAGTCTATCCTAAATTGAGGTAAATTATATGGCCTTCCAAATACCGTCGAAATCCGGATATGGTGTACAAATTTTTGCACCTCATGTTTGCGGTATACCATCTTTTCCGCAAGTTTATTATTTTCTGTTTGGTATTAAATTATAAATAAAGATCCATTTTGTTACACATTGTGATCCGTTTATTTGGCAATCGCCAATGGCAGTCAGCAGGGTTTAAGAACATCAGTTGTTCGACCTTTTAGTCAAATGCGTTTTGTTTAAATATACTTTTTCACTTTTTTGGTCTTTTGGAAAATGTTTGTGCTGTATTTAGACCCCTCTACCAAGAAATTTGTTTTGCATGCACACGTATAAAATTGAACGTTGTTTTCAATTTAGACTTATTTATATTTTTTCGTTTGGGCTTGTATTATATTTCCCTTCGGGTTTATATGATTCGTTCATCCTATTTCGACTCTTCAAAAATCAAGAGTCTTTCCTAAATTGAGGTAAATTAAATGGCCTTCCAAATACCGTTTCGATTCCTAACATCACTGAAGAGACATTAATTGTCGAAAACGGATATGGTGTACAAATTTTTGCACCTCATGTTTGCGGTCTATAAGAAAGTCTAAATTGAAAACAATGTTCAAACCTATGATTGTGTTGGATAAAAACCGCAATTTTTATATGTGTGCATGCAAAACAAACTTGGTAGAGGGGTCTAAATAC